GCTGGCCGCCGCTGGATCATGTTAACGCTGATGTAGATGCACGCGGGAGTGACTCACTCGCTATAGGGTATCGGTATCTAGTCATCTCTGATACATACTACCGTATCAGCAGAATGCTCTGTCAAGGCCAGGTACTCTTTGTCCACTGTATCCTATGAAAGCAGTGTGTGGCGGAAGCTGCGGTGGTGGGGGTATATGTTCAATGATATTCCGATGATGCGTTTTTTAGATACCGCCTTAGGCAGTACTGCTCAGACACCCGCACTGATCGTATACTAGCGCTTCCTATAATCATCATGTACAAGAAGCAAGTACTATTGTCCACTGTGTACGGGTTAAACCGCTCGTTTTCGAAACAAATTATTACCGGCTTCTCTTTAAATCGTTCGGGAAGCTTGTCGCCTGTTATACGCCTCGTGGGGCATCGTCGCCGAACATTTCTCCGTCATCGACAGGTTCTTCATCGCCGAGGACAACATTAAGGAGGTACCTGAGGATTTTAACACACCTATTTCCACGCCCGCTCACGAAATAATCTTCACGTACTCATATGGCGAGCGGGCCATTATTTTCAAACCATCGGTGCCGATATCTACGAGTAACGACGACTCGGGCATTAAAAGAGCTAGAGCGTACACACCCGTGGTCGTAATGAAGAGGGTGTCGTACCTCAATCTCCAAAGGGTCTTGCGCTGCGTGACCGTCCAAATAAACAGGCTACGCGAGATCACCGACAGCGCTAACAGCTGCAAAGACACGCTGATTGCGAAGCTCGATCGCCGCGGGGATGACGCCTCCAGGGACAACATATTTGACGATCTTCGGCTGGTTTTGGAAAAGAAAGGCCTGTGGTCGCCGGTTCTTTATCAGTTATTGGTGGAGCTACTCTCCCTGTATAACCATGAGTACCTCTCCTTCGTGAGGAGCACCACGGCTGCCCAGAACGGTCATGTTTAAGGGTTTATTCTCTTAATAAAATTGTACAGCTACTGTTTCTTACAATATACGACATATATTTAAAAATACCTATTTTTTCTGTTTTTGTTTCCTTCACCTCCATCTCCCCATATCTTGTTAATAATGGTAACGGGCGGTAGGAACTAAAATATTAAGCGTATTCCTCTATACAGGGCTCAGGCTAATCATCGAAAATGTATCACACCAGACAGCTTTATAATATATGTAGCGTTTCTTACAAAAAAACACTGTATTCTACTTCACCATGGGACACTTACCTCCTGAGGATAATTAAAAATTACCGGCCGGCAGTCACTGCATAATTACCGACCGTGATACGCCCCCTGGGGGACATGCAACGCTGTTGCTGGGTGGTTTCGGGCCTTAGGACCGCGTGGTGGGGGGGCCTCAACTGTGTCGCAGGTGGAGGGGAGAGCTGGTCACATAGGCGAAGGGGTGGCGCCATAGTGCAGTGCGGGGGACCGGCGCACGGTGCACTCTATGACTCATAGGGACAGTGGTGGGGGTTTGTTATGGCTCCCATAAGTGGTGTGTATCTACTTGCGTCTGGAATCGCTGATTGATCGGTAAGTCACTAAAACTAATAGTTTTATCGTGCTGCAATTTTAAACGCGATTATTTCGAAACTACATTTTCAAAAACTGCTCATGTTGTAACTCAAAAAGTTACAACAGTTTAAAGTTTTTAAGATATCGCGTAAATAAAATATTTTTTTGGGGTAAAAACTGTCGATAAAATGGTCAAAAATTCGAAATTTTTTTCAACAGCCTACCAAATTTTTAATTTTATACTTTTTCATTGTTTTTTAGGTTAGTCCTTCCCCTTTACATGTCAGTAATCGAAAAAGAATTGTTTTTTTGGTTTCAGATCACTACAAAGAACATGACAAGTGCAGCACTTTTCGGTGTCACGCAAAAGACACCTGGCCAAATAACACACAGAGCCACCGTTTTCTTTCATAACAAAAAAAAATATTTTTCTATGCTTTAAAGGCGGAATAAAATGATACCACAATTTCAAAATGATGCGATTATTTTATCACATTCAAAAAAATGCATGAAAAATGCCTCATTTTCGGCCGTCTAAATAGTATGCTCCCCTTAAAAGACACTATAAAAGATGTATTTTTAAATCTACGTAAAGATATAAAAGATCTACTCAAACCTTCTTTTAAGCCTCTTTTAACCCGTTTACGCCCAAACTGGCATGAAAGTTTTTCATTTTTCTATAGTTACACTTTTAAGGTAAAAGTTATTCAATCTTGATGAAACTACATGTCTTTATGTATTTTTGTCTGCTCTTTCTGAATCTGACCTCAGATTGACGATATTTGCCGCCATTTTTAATATACGGCAGTTTAAATCTGAAAAAAGCAAAAAATTTCATTTTTTTTTTTCAAATAATCATGAATCTGAACCAGATTCCGTTATCGGAGGGCGATAAAACTCTGGATCGGGTGGAATACGACCTTATACTAAAAGATAGGATTATTAATTTATTGAAATTCAAAATGGCGGTCATTGAAACAGCTGTTTTTATACATGACCGTTATCG